ACTACAGTCACACCTCAGCCACCTACAGGTGCTTGTGGCCAATATACTTTCTGACTTTCAAACACACTGGTGGGACACAAGCCAGTAAAACTTTTGTAGGTAAAGTTTTAGAAGACTGACAGATGCTTTCTGCTAGGCTCCTTGCTCCTAAATAGCCTGTTCTTAAAGATACCAAGTAGAAAACAAGCATAGAAAGAAGCAACTTTTTCACTGTTCCATACACCATTGGTTGCTGCATTCAAAACAGACCCCAGGCATCTTGTCTCACTCCGTCTTGTGCTAAACTCTCTCTCGTAAACACTAGCCATTCCAACCTAGTAAACTCTTAATAACACTTCTCCTTATCCTTTGCAAAGTGAGTGACACCTTTAAAAATAAGCTACGTTATATTTAAAAAGATGTCATTTGTGATTTGTATTTAAACTGTCAACCACCTACTGAATTTCCTTTCTTGATTATTTTAGTTTTTCCATATGGTAAATACCTAACAGACATACATTTGCATGTATCTTAATTGTATGATGGGATTTCAGTGATATTAGATAATGAAAAGAATTTATGAAAAATTATATATCATATATATAAAAACATATATATATATATATGTATTTTTTTTGAGACAGGGTATCACTCTGTTGCCCAGGCTGGAGTGCAGTGGCATAATCTTGGCTCATTACAACCACCACCTCCCAGGCTCAAGCGATTCTCCGACCTCAGCCTCCTCGGTAGCTGGGACTACAGGTATGCGCCACCATGCCTGACTAATTTTTATATTTTTTGGTAGAGTCGGGGTTTCACCATGTTGGCCAGGCTGGTCTCAAACTCCTGACCTCAGGTGATCTGCCAGCCTCGGCCTTCCAAAGTGCTGGGATTACAGGTGTGAGTCACAGTGCCCAGCCTGAAAAATGATAGATTTTTAAATGACCTCAACAGACCTCAACTTGTAGATTTACATTTCTACCTGAAATAGAAAAAACACACTGAGCCTTATCTTGCTTTGCTCCTGGTAAGTTTTCTCCATCTGGAATGACCTCTTTTTCTCTAATCTCCACTTGTCCACATTCTAAGCATTCATCCAAGCCCAGCTAAAAGCCAGCCCTCCACGTAGCTTCCCCTGACATCCCTTCTCTGACCTCCCACGGTACTTAACAGGAGCCCTTCTAAGATACATGTCACGTGCTTTGCTTTTGTAGTTAACTGTGCTCAGCTCTTTCATGATAAAGACTGTGTCTTATACCTCTCTGTCCCCACCCCGTCAAGAATGCAGAACAGTGCCTTATAGGCAGAAGGTGTCCAAATGCATAAATCCTAGGGCACCTGAACAAATCACATCTGAATAGTAAGAATTCAGCTTCGTTTTGCGATCCACATTCATGAGTACTATTTGCATCTATACCCTCCAGCTATAGTACTCATCAGTTTGACATTCAGCAGCACCTTCATTTCTTTTTGTACTGTGCTCATTTAAAAAGCTTTAAGGGGCTAAGTTTTCTCATCTAACAGCTGCTTTATGGAGATTTAAAGGCTTTTTATGGCTGTTCAGTAATGACAGAACTTTTACATTGTACACAGGAATCACCCGATGAATTTCACCTCCAATAAACAGAATCAATTTTACAAGGATCTGAGGAGTCCAGAAAGATATCAGAAGAGTGGAGTACACACAGGGTTATCCTCAAAGAAACAAAAGTGCCTAAAACTCTTGTGTTTTCTTGGGAGGGTTACAGAATCAAGACTGTCAGACTACAGACTGGCAGAGCTGGAAGGAACTTTAGGGACCATCGAGTCCTACCTTCTTCACAGAAAAACAATAACTTTCAGTGGAATGAGTTAAATTTGGATTTGGTTAAATTAGTTAAAATATACATTGGGAGATTTAAAAACTTGGCATTATAGCATGGTAATTAGTTTTAGGACACTGTGTCATACTGAAGGAGTTAATGCATTCCCCTAAAAGATCTAGGCCCCAGGATTATTTTACATGAATATTCTGACTTCCTAGAGCCATCAAGAAAAGCACATGTTGCCTATTTCTGTGTGCCCTTGAGAGAGCGGGCATCCACAGACACCCAGGCTCATCATCTGGTGGGTGCAGTATTCTACCAAGCTTCCTAACTGATGAGGCTGCATCCATCATCAAACACTGATATTGCGGAATGAGATGAAAAAAATAGTAGTATAGGCTGGGTGCAGCAGTCCATGCCTGTAATCCCAGCACTTTGGGAAGCCAAGGCAGGCAGATCACTTGAGGCCAGGAGTTCAAGACCAGCCTGGCCAACACGGTGAAACCCCATCTCTACTAAAACTACAAAAAAATTAGCCAGGCATGGTGGCGTGTGCCTGTAATCCCAGCTACTCAGGAGGCTGTGAGGCATAAGAATCACTCGAACCTAGGAGGCAGAGGTTGCCATGAGCTGAGATTACATCACTGAACTCCAACCTGGGTGACAGAGACTCTGTCTCAAAAAAAAAAAAAAAAAAGTAATGTAATTTTAAGAGACTAATATTTTGAAATTTACAAACCTACTAAACAATGGAAAAATAACTCCTCAAGTCTAAACTATGTATCTTTCTTGATTCATGGGCTTATGGTAGATTCCCAAAAAGTGGTGAAGGCAGTGTCACCTGGGAAGTAGACAGGAGAGATCTTGGGAAGGAAGCCAGGCCCATGAGGGCAGCACTGCGGACAGCAGCCATGGGGCAGCAAGGGTTGTCATGCACAGCTCGGTCACAGGGCCCCTATCTGACCTTGGCAAAGGCCTTTGCCTCTCCGGGGCTCAGTTTCCTTTGTGGTTTCCCCTGTACAAATGACCCTTCTACATAAGATGAATACTGCAGTAATGAGCTACCTTAAGAGCGGTCCTGAGAATTATAAACAAGCAAAAGGTATCTGCAAAATGTCAAGTACTGCTGCACACACCACACAAGAAACAAGACAAGAGGGTATATAGACAAGAAGGGTATTGCCTGGAAAGCACAATGCGTCATTTACAGAATTCACAGCAATACACTGACCTCATCCTACTTCTCCAATTATCTGGGGAAATTCACATGTTTTGCCTAAGCTCTTTGCTTCCTTATCTACTATTCTTTTTTCCCCAGTTTTATTTGTTCATTTTCTGATTAAAACAATCTAATGTACAGGTAAAAGCGGAGAGATCAATATTAACCCCCATGCATCTATCACCCAGACATATAACCACCAGCTAGTGATGGCTAGCCTTGTTTCATGCAGACCCCACCCACACCCCACCCCCTAACTCTGCAGGATCATTTTGAATTGAATCCCAAACATATATCGTTTCCTTTTTCATAGTTTTTAAAACATATAAGTCATTTCTGTTTGTCATTTTATTTTCTTGATTCAACATCCCTGATGTAAATTATTTGTAATAATGAAACTGAGGCAACACTGGTGGTGCACTTGGGGCCAGAGAAAAATCTAGACACAAATGATTTAAATAAAAAAGGAACAGTACCGGCCGGGTGTGGAGGCTCATGCCTGTAATTCTAGCACTTTGGGAGGCCAAGGTGGGCAGATCATGAGGTCAGGAGATCGAGACCATCCTGGCTAACATGGTGAAACCCCATCTCTACTAAAAATATATAAAAAATTAGTCAGGTGTCGTGGCGGGCACCTGTAGTCCCAGCTACTCGGGACGCTGAGGCAGGAGAACAGCGTGAACCCAGGAGGCGGAGCTTGCAGTGAGCAGAGATCGTGCCACGGCACTCCAGCCTGGGCAACAGAGTGTGGGAAAAAAAAAAAAAAAAAAAGGGACAGTACCTCAAGGCAGAGGTAGGCTTGTAGGAGCCTGTTATTCCATTGCCATCAGCATGGCAGCACCCTGATGGTCAGCTGGGACTCTGACCAGGTTATGGGCTCAGGGAGGAGGGGGCATTTCTCTCCTTTCCCTGAACAGGTCTGTTCTCTCCTGTCTCCAGGTCTCCCTTCCACTACTGAAAGCACAATCACTTCAGTGTCACACTCTCTCCCCTGCAAAGCCTTGCTTGGTCCCTCCAGTCAAAACACACCTTCCTTCTGCTTTGTTTCTACAGCACTTCATTACTCCGGCAGACAGTAGGTGCTCAATGAATGCTGGTACATAAAATGAATGGGAAATGGGGCTTACTTCATTCTGCCTTATATCTTAGTGGTTTTCACCCTTGTCTCCTCCACTATATTCTAAATTCCTCGGGGAAAAAGATATTGCATGTTAAATTAGCTCTGTATCGTACTCCTAATGCATTGATTTGCACACAGCAGGTGCTCAACAAATATCCCACTAACGAAGTAATGCACTATGAAAAGAGCTAACCTTGTCACATGGTTAGAGGATTAAGCTTCTGAAGAATGAGTTCACGTAAATTATGAGCATCCTAGGAAACAGACAATGTGTAGATATTTTTCCCACTGGTTTCCATTGGTTTCTTCCCTTAAGTAAGCAAATTTGGGCTTCTTATCATACATGAAAGAGAATCTGAGAGTGGTTTCCTCTGTCAAATGGCCCAGCAACACCCGCCTCCAATACCATAATCCTGTTTTCCTCTCCTACCCGCTCCCAAGGTGAAGGCTGCACGACGTTACTGCTCGCAGGATGGAATTACAGGCCTGAATCGGAGGACAAAGCTTCTTTTTGCTATGTCTGGTCATTAATTAGCTGCTGGAAACTTCAGGACAGGGCCATTAGCATGCTCATAAACCTTTTATTTTAAATGTTTTCGCTTAGCCTTGATTCTGATGTGACTCTCCTTGTAAGCTGGACGTAGGACATTTGTTTCTTAACATTTCTGAGGCTCATTAACTACTCGATCCCAGCGGCTCATTAACCAAGCCATTAGGGATTTCGCCTCATGCAGGCAGAAGCCTCCACTTGCCCTCACAGAGCCTTGGAGGGCGCCTAATTGGGAATGGTGCGAGGCTGGCTGCAAGCATCACGGGGGAGAGTGGGGCTTTGTCAGGTCTCCACGATGCGGGAGCAGCGAGAGGGGAGCTCACTCACCTGCTATTCTCCCAATGGGCATGGCGTGCTCTTCAGGGGGGGAGACAGAGACCATGATGTGGTTCATGTAAGCCAGGTCTTCCCGATGAGAGAGGTTGATGGGTTTCCCTTCTCTATGCAGCCCGTCCTCGGAGAGCCTGGATTGTTTGAAATCCACGGAGTGCCGGGGGTTCAGGATCAGAGGGTGCATGATGGGGCTGGGCATCAGCTGGATCACGCGTGTGCTCTCCTGCCGGGGGCTGGATGGCTTCGGGTGGGACTCAGAGGACGCTGGGCAGTGATTATTCTCCATGGGAGACACTGACAGAGGGTAGGACTCCTGGTGGTTGTTCTCCTGGTGCGGCCTGGGTCCCTGAGCTCTCTCAGCTGGGGAGAGTCGGCGGATCATGTTGTCCAGGGGGGACCGGAGGGGCCGCTGCTCGGGGTCAGGAGAAGGCCGGTGATTTGTCGTGATGGGTGACCTGGAGCGGTGCAACAGTTCAATGGTGGGAGGGTTGTGGTGCACATTATCCACGGATGGCCTGGGGGTCCTCTGGACACAGTTATCTGTGGAGCAGAGGGAAAGGCAATCACGGTGAGTTGGCAGGACAGGACCCTCCCCGTGGCTCTCCAGGCGGTAAATGGAGGAGCGTGTAGGTTATGTGTAAAGAACCTTTCTCCCCAGAATGCAGTGTCTTTTTCACCGCTTAACAATGTAAAATGTGCATATTGAAACTATTTTTCTATTGCCAGGCAACCTAAGGATGTCTACAAGCATTCCGTTGATCACCTACCTGTGGCCTGTAAGCACAAGGAAGCCAAACGTCCATGCCTCATCTTTTGGTCATCATTTAACTCTTCTACATCGCTTTCAGAGGGGGAAGCGTTCTTAGGGGTTTCTCTCTAGCTGCTTTCATTGACTTACATTTTCACAACTAAAATTTTCATATTCTCTACCTCTAGGAGTTATTAGTATTAGTGTTAATGTTAATCATATTAGTAATAATTATTAGTAATAACTATATCTTAGATGCTGGATTTCACTGTTTAAAACTTAACAGCACTCCTGGCTGGGTGCAGTGGCTCCCACCTGTAATCCCAGTTACTCGGGAGGCTGAGGCATGAGAATCACTTGAACCCAGAAGGTGGAGGTTGCAGTGAGCCAAGATCACACCACTGCACTCCAGCCTGGGTGACAGAGCAAAACTTTGTCTCAAAAAAAAAGAAATAAAGAAAAAGAAAAAAACCCCAACCTTATAGCACTCCTAACCAGGAGATACCACTAGTACCCCTGTTTTACAGATGATAAAACTGAGGCATAAAGAAGTTAAGCAACTTACTCAAGGCCACACAATCTCCTAACAGTCAGTTAGGAGATTAGAACCAGACTCCAGTCAGATTTTAGAACCTGTGTACTCATGACATCTGTCACTGCAACATAGAAACTACGACGCAAAGTCACCAAAACCAGCTCTAAGCATGCACAGTGGCCCCAATTTACAGAATGACAATCTTACTGAACTTGAAAGAACTTTTGGGAGCACTTTGCTTCTGAGTGCACAGACCCTACAAGTGCTCAGAGACAGGCAGAGGTAAGGAAGAAGCAGGATGAATGGACACCTCTAACAATACCTCTAACCCGTCCCACTCGAAGTTGCAAGCTGGTGACGTGTGTGCGAGGATAACATCAGAAGCGTACACAGCTCAGCAACAGAAGTAGCTCTGAGGGCTGGGTTGGGGAATGGACCAGCACACACCTGGCTCCAGAAGTCCCTGCTAAGGTGCAGAAGGACAGAAATCTGCCCATAAAAATGGAGATTTCTACATGGCTGCTCACCCAACTCAATGAACTCTCTCTGGCCACATCTTTTCCCAGGGCAGCCTCACCAAAAGGATGTGCATGCTTGCTGTCCTTGTTCTGGTCAAAGAATTGTCCACAGTTCTAAGTAAAGCAAGTCAAACACATCACCTTTGTCCATTAAGATCATATATATATAAAGAACACATAAAGGGAATTCAGTAATTTGATAGGGTCCGTAAACAGAGACAGACATGGTGGTTTTAAGTTTTACACAGGGTTAAGAAGAAAATGGGGACTTTTTTCTTTTTTGAAAGTTCTACTAGATCTCATCTATCATATGAAACACTGAACAAAAATATTGTTCATAATATTAAAAGATCATCTCCTTGAAAGCAAAGGGCTTATTTTGTGACTGCTGTATAACCTACTGCCGTAAGTTCAAAAGTGCCTCATCATTGGAATAGCTATCAATAGGAGACTGATTTAATAAATTATAGTATATATCTCTAAACAATGGAGTACTATGTAAGTGTAAAAAGGAATGAGGAGTATCTCAATATTTTGCTAAGGACTAGCATCCAGAATCTATGGTTAGATACGAAAAGCAAGATGAAGCATTTATGATCTGCCACCACTTATCTAAACAAGGAAAGGGGGAGTTTCAGTTTCAACAACAGTAGAGTGGCTTGTACCAAAGGAACCGTCCTACGGATAGAAATGAAAGAAACTGTATTAAATACATTGAAAAAACTATTTGAAGGTATCAAGGGCAGACAAAAACCGGGATTTCACTCTTGAAAGAAGGGACCTGCACAGAGTGAGGTCCATGTTTAAACAGCTTTCTCCCTGGTTCCGCTGATCTCCTAACTGCCCTATGCTGCATGCTCCTCCCCAGTCTGTGCCGCACAGGGCAGTTAGGAGATAAACAGAAAGTTGCTTGAGATAGAGTAGGTAGCTGCCAGAATGGCAGAAAATTGAAGAAACAAATCCCATACAGTGGGAGCCTCAGAGGGGAGGGTGATTAAATGTAAAAGTTTCCTCAAATTCTTGTCTGACTACTGAATAGCCCAAGTGCCAAGGAGACCCTTTGGAGTTCAGTGAAAAGCAACAGTTGTATAATCAAAAGATATGAGCAGAAATCTCAACTACTGGCTACCGCAGTGGAGACAGAGTTCAGAGTTTGAGTCTCATCAAGTTTGAAGGCTCTGCAAACACTTCAGGCTGTTTGTTACCCCCGAATGACCACAATGTAGGAGTAAAAACCCTAGGACAAGGGGATCTGGCTAAGGGCAAAAGGCAAAATAGAAACAGATTGGACCTAATGAAACGTAAGACCATGCTTCTGCAGATTCAAAGTCACTGGCCAGTAATTTGATTGCCTGCTAGAACAAAAGTCAACGCTCTTCAGTGGAACAGAACACAATCCAGTGTCTCAACGTGCTCAGCACCCAGTCACAATTTTCTAGATATGAGAAGAAATACAAACATGCTACTCATAATAAGGAGGCAAGGCCATCAACAGAAACAGAACTTGAGATAATGCAGATGTTGGAATTAGCACAAACAAACAAACAGAAAAACTTTACAGCAGCTATTATAAATAAGTTCAAGCCCTAAAAGAAAATGATGGTTGTAATAAATGATGACACATAGAGCCTGCCAAAAGGGAAATGGAATAAAAAAAAAGACAAAATAAAGATTCTATAACTGAAAAGTATAATATCTGAAATGAAAGACTGGACTAGATGGACTTAATAGCAGAATGAGAGAAGAAAGGGTTAGAAAATTTGAAGACAGATCAGTAAAAACGAAATCCAAACAAAACAAATCCTCAGTGACCTGTGGAACAATATCACATGGTCTAATACACATGTAATTGGTGTCCAAGAAGGAGAATATAGAAAGAAACAGGGTAGAATAAATTAAAAAATAATAGCTAGATTGTCCTCAAATTTGGTAACAACATTATCAACAACAGTCAATTCAAAGATCCAAGAATCTCAAGTGAGATATGTAAAATAAAAACCACACCCAGGTACACCACAGTCAAACTGCTGAAAACCAAAAATAAAGAGAAAATCTCGAAAGCAACAAGAGAAAAAAAGAAACTATGTACAGGGGGAGATTATACTAATATACTATATATGTATAGTATGATAGTATATATGATATATGGTGTATAACTAATACTATATAAATATATACTTACACAGTGTATATGTATAAACTAATATTTATAATATATTATATATATGAATATACTAATTATGATTGACCTGTTTAAAAAAACCTGGAGAGGGACTGCTCAAACACACACACAAGAAGGATACAGATGGGAACCTATAGATTGAAAAAGACTTTAAGAGATACATTAACCATTTGCAATGTATAGATGTTGTTTGGATTCTGATTCAAACTGTAAAAAACATTTTTTTTTTTTTGAGATGGAGTTTTGCTTTTGTTGTCCAGGCTGGAGTACAATGGAGCCATCTCGGCTCACTGTAACCTCCGCCTCCCGGAATTCAGGTGATTCTCCTGCCTTCAGCCTTCCTGAGCAGCTGGGATTACAGGCATGCGCCACCACGCCTGGCTAATTTTGTATTTTTAGTAGAGACGGGGTTTCTGCATGTTGGTCAGGCTGGTCTCGAACTTTAGACCTCAGATGATCCACCCAACACGGCCTCCCAAAGTGCTGGGATTATAGGTGTGAGCCACCACGCCTGGCTGTAAAAAACATTTATGAGAAAAAAGTGGCAAAAAGTGAACACTAGTAGATTATTTGATGATACCGAGGAACTACTAGTTTTCAAGTGATATGATGGTTCTGTGATTGATTTTATAGAGCCTTTTTTTGAGACCTATGTTGATACTAGGTCTTTGACTTGTTCTGGTCAAAGAGCAAGTACTTTTTTTTTTTTTTTTTGAGACAGAGTCTCGCTCTGTTGCCCAGGCTGGAGTGCAGTGACGCGATCTCGGTTCACTGCAAGCTCCGCCTCCCGGGTTCACACCATTCTCCTGCCTCAGCCTCCTGAGTAGCTGGGACTACAGGCACCTGCCACCACGCCTGGCTAATTTTTTGTATTTTTAGTAGAGTTGGGGTTTCACTGTGTTAGCCAGGATGGTCTCGATCTCCCGACCTTGTGATCCACCTGCCTCGGCCTCCCAAAGTGCTGGGATTACAGGCGTGAGCCACTGCACCCAGCCTGTTGATACTATTTACAAGGGAAATTATGTATCTGGGATTTGCTATGAAATAATCTGGGATGGTGAAGGAGAGAGGAGGTAGACCACAGGGGAAAACAAGATTGGCCTTGAGTTACCATCAAAACTGGTGATGGGTACATGGTGATTCATTATACAATTCTCTTTACTTTTGTATAGGTTTGATATTTCCTGTTATAAAAAGCTTTTTTTTTTTTTTTTTTTTTTTTTTTAAAGTGCTTAATTAACCTTGCAAGGATACAGGTTGGGATGACAAGCACTAATTTCCTCACTTTAACCCAAATGCATATAAATGCTTACCAGGCACCAACTAAAATGATCTGTAATCTTCTGGAGATAAGGCAAACTTTCCTTTTATAGATAATATGGATCTCAATTCTGCTGCCCATAGAAATGTATTTATCTTTTGTCCATGGTTCACTTTTCATTTGTCACAGAGTATGATCACTGTAAACAACTGAAGACAGTTCCAGTTTGAACTTTCCTATATTTTCTTCTAAATGCCATTTACAGAATGTCTTTCTTTACTTAAAAGCTTATTAAG